CGTCATCAATATTTCCATTTTAACTCTGCAAAAGTGATGCTTGGGCATTCAGTCGTTACCGCTCAAAGGAAATGTTGCGCGTGTTGAGGTGCGTGGAGACGATGGGCGACGTGAGCCTCTGGGCCGTGTTCTCCTGCGACGGCTGCATGGCCGCCAGAAGGGACGGCGCATCACGAGGGGACAGCACGAGCGGCTCCGTGTACACCACCTGCTTCTCGTGGTCCACCTCCATCACCACGGCTCCGTCGTCTGAGCAGAGAGACGGACAGGCTGCGAATCCCCTCCGTTCATTCGCTCACTTATGCATTTACGTCACACACCTCCACCCTTGAAAATGTAGCTGCGCCGTCCTTTCAGCCAAGTCATGTGTTCAAAGCCCAGTAGGGTGGTGTCAACACGGAGGCACGAGCCGCTTTTCCAAACCCGGTAGACGTCACTGGGGCAAACCTTAGACACCAGGGGTACTGCACAGAGACAGGAGGGAGAGGATGGGGCTTCCTTCAAAACATGTGAGAGAGAGAGCAAGAAACACATAACCAAAGAAGAGGTAATAGAAGAAAATCTTGCTTTATCTTTTTCACCAGCGCTTCAAATACATTAATCTGATTAGTCCGAGTAGCTCCTTGCTTTCTAAATGCCTCAGACTGAGGAGAGTGTTGCCTAAAAATGCTTAGCAGGATGATCCTCCTGCTTTCTCAGCATTGATTTTTCCCTCCCCGGTTTCTAAAAGGGAGCTGCTGCTTTTAAACAGGCCAAGGACTTCACAGTCATGAGGCAAACCCTGAGAAGCCAAGAATTTTGTAAAACAGTTTCATCTCTACCTAAACTAAAAATTATCTCTTTATGAAGCGGGAGCTTAACTTAAAACTAATTTAAACTGAAACCTTGCAAATCAAAGACACCGTCTCACTTCTGATTAGTCATTTTGATTAGAAATGCACAGATCAGACTTTTTACATGTCATGTACTCTCTGACATGCCGATTCCAATTTTGACCAATTCTGATTCATTTTTCTTCAGACAGATGACAGATTAAGTTTAATTAGATGGACAAGTTTTAAACACAACAAAAAAAATTGAATGACAAGATGACCACCACTCATACATCACAGTATTTTCTAAACCATTATCTAATTTTTAATCAATTTAAAAAAGTGCTAAATTTTTAGTTTCATTTCTTTGAGAGAAAAAAATTAACTAATTTTTCTTTTTTTTTTTTGTTTTTACTGTGGATCTCCAATCAGAGGGAACTAAATCTACCAGTTCCAATCTCTGCTGTGTTAATTGGTGCATGTTTATTTAGGGCTCACAAGTTTTCGCCTCTTTTTCCAAAAGGTGTAAATTCAATATAGACACAGTCTGCTGCTCAGGGGAGCTGTCCAGCTGCAGTGGTGCTGAAATTTACCTCAGTGTGGGAAACCTGAAATCCACTCACCCCAGCTGGTGAACTCCCACTTCATCTCCACGTAAAAGTCCCGCGCCTGGAGAGACAGGAAAAGGATGTTCACATGGTGACCGTCCTCATCTAATGAAGACGCTGAGAGTTTTTGGCAGCATGTCGGAAATATTGTTTAAAATGGAAAAGCCACCCTGGCAGTCAAGTGTAGAGCTCTTGCTTCACTGGAAGCATCTTAGAGAAAGACTTTGGAACAGCACAGAAGAGTGCATTGATAAAGGAGATGAGGAATTTAGATGCTAAAGGATGATTTTTACCTGTCTCAGTTTGCTGAGCAGCTCTGGGATGCCCGCCAGTCTCTCTGTAGCTCGTTTAAAGTCTCTGTACTGAAGCACCAGCTGCACCAGCTCTGGGTCCCCGGTGCTCACCGCCTCCTGCAAGACTGAAGCAAATGTCCGGGTGATTAACTCACAGCAACCTCAGGACATGAAGCAAAACAGCAGCAGCAGCAGCAGCAGCTTGAAGCACTCACTGGTCCAGCCCTGCGTGTTGCAGTGCGTCGGGTCCGCAGAGTACCTGAGCAGCACCCGGGTGGACTCCAGGTGACCCAGACAGACAGCCAGCTCCAGCGGGGTGCGCCCCCGTGGATCCAGGCGCTGAACATCCTGCTGCATGTCCAACACACACACACAGACACACACAAGCTGCGTCAGCGCACTGCGGCGCGACATATAATAAAGCGCACCTGTAGAAACCCACCACCCACAGAGACTCACTTCTTTCTTCTGCAGCTCTCTGTCCAGCTCTAGGTACTGATTGTTCCAGACGTAAAAATGCAAGGGAAAGGCCTCCTGAGCCATGGCTGACACACTCTTACAAAGACTTTTACAGCCACAAAGATCGCAGTGAAATGGATCGGCACCGCTGGTTAGCTAGCTAGCTTCGGTTTTTACTTAAAAATGTTACACTCCGACAGCAAAAGTTGTGTCACTTAGAAAAAAACCTGCCACTTGGCAACTCTATTGTAGTAACTAACATGAAGCAGCAAAACTATTAGTGGGCTGAGTCTGGAAGGCTAACTCAGCCCACTAGTTAACTAGCAGCTAGCTGGCTAACCTTAGCTAACTAGCCAACAACATTGTTTTCAGCTTCTAATTTCCATACTGCGGGATGAACGGGTTTAACCAACAAACAGCTCACAACAGTGTCCTCTCATTTTTTTTCTTTCTGTTAAATACTTATACTGTAGCAGTTAAGATAATCTAGTTCCAACCGCCGGATATTAAAGTTAGCTAGCTTGTCCCGCTGCCGATGAGAGCATCCTCCGTTTCCATCGCAGTGTTGTAACCAAAATAAAGCAAGATACGGCCCCTCAGTCCGCTTCCACATCCAGGTCACTCCAGTTCAGGGTCTGATGAGAAGATGCCAGCTGCTGCCAATAACGCATCTGTCCAGTGCGCCCTGATCCTCTGCGATCAGCTCCGCCACAATCAAGCTCTCCCAAAGCTGTTGCAACGGTTTATTTAGTTTGAAGGGGCTTTGTTTCCAGGTGGCGGAGAGAGGCTGCTGGGTGGAGCCGGGAGGCAGGATTTCTGTCATCCAGCGATGCAAATCTGTGAGAAAGTACTTCCTCCGGATTTCTTCCCTTCTTGCTTTTTTTTGTTCATAAAAAATTTTCAGATTTAAAAAAAAATGCAAAACTCAATTTAGAAAATATTTCATAAGATCCCCTTTCCTCCTTTTTAAAATCAGAAATTAACTATAATTAGCCACATTTTAAAAGCAGGGTCTAATTTCACCAGCCACACCCAGGTCTGATTACTGTCTGAGCTGAAGAAGCATAAAGTAATTTTATCATTAGAACCTGTTTGACGTGAAGTAGGCTAAAGGAGCAAAAACACCAGCACATCTCAAATGTAAAGAACAGATGAGAAACAACGTCACTGACTTTGTTTCTCAAGGGTTAAAAAAGTAATTTATAACAGCTTGGGACTTAAGTGCTATGAAATACTAGAAACTTTCCCCATTTAAGGTAGTACAAGAGCACATTAGCGTCTATAAGAAAAAAAAACTAACATCTAAAAGTAATGCAAGTCTCACATTTGAAAAAAAGACTTCAGAGAAATCCTACCAACAGTCCAACATGGTGATGGTCTTGGACTGCTTTGCTTCTTCTGGACAACTTGAAGTGAAGGAAACGTAAATCATGCATCAGAAAACCCTGAAAAATAATGGCCACCCATCAGTTTAAGAGCTTGAAGTAAAGCACGTCTGGGTTATGCAACACCAGGAGGGCTAACTAAGTAGCCACTCAAAAACAAGGATTTTGAAGTAGCCTTGTCAAAGTTGGGGCATAGGCCACCTCAAAATCCACCAAAGTGACTGTTTTAAAATAATTCGGCAAGAAGAATGGACCAAGATTGCTTCATAGCAGAATGAAGAACTCATTGCACCAAAGGGTGACGCAGTCAGTTCTGAGTATTGGGGGGGAAATTAGGTCTTCATGTACAATCAGCAAACTTTACGCTCTCAAAAAAAAAAAAAATTCAAACTGCATTTGTTACTTTTATCCCATTAAAATTAGCTTGACAGGTTAGAAGTAAGGCGGAGTCGCCATTTCAACTTGGCAAAGATGCTGAAATCGATGTCAACTTTTTTTTATTTTTCTTGAAAAATAACACAACATGAAGTGAAAAAAGCTTCTGAAAATAATTACAATGCTACACGATCCGTTTATAATCTAAAAGAGGAAGCCAAAAACAAAAAACAGAAACAAAAAATACACATTTACACAAAAGTAAATATTTATATAATTATATTCATTCTTAGGGATATGGCCAGGGGAGCAGTCCGGGAGGAGAGCTTTGTTTCAGTTTTAACACTTAAAGGAAACAAAAACAAATGAGGAAATTCTCCAAATAAAATCTTGCATCTCCACGCAGACAGAGACGAGTGAACAAATGTGACTACTTCCCCCTCTCCCCCCAATCCATTAAAAAAAAGAAAATTGTATCAAAGAGGGGCGGGGAGCAGTTTCATCTACAATATTTTTTGCTTTCAACGTCTGTACAAAAAAAACAAACCAATACGTGTTTCAAAATAATAGCACCTGAAGTTGAACTGCTGTTTGGAAATGCACCATTTATCTGCCAGTGTATCCTTGGCTTTTCCCCTACACTTATTACAACCTGCCCCATCGGCGGGGTGAGGTCTTGTTACTATGTTGATTGCCTACTCACACAGTCTTTGTACCTTCTCGAGCTTTACAACAATGTATACCCCTAACAACTGCTGCAATAAGTCTTTTAATTACAAAGCTGGATGTACAATGGTAAACACAGGCCATCCCAGTAGTCTGATGATTTTGCTTATGTCTAGATAAAAAATAAAAATAAAAATCTCCAAGCATAGCTGTTGTGCATAAAGCAAATGTTGACAATTTAACCCAGACAAGAAAAAAAAAAATCTACTAGAAGCACCCAAATGTAGTTGAAGTCAAAGCGATTCTGTTTTGTCACAATGAAAATAAGATTTTATGATAGATTAGCATAATGGATCAATTATTTATATCCCACGGATGCAACTCAAAGTCTTTGCTAATTCTGAAAGGCAAGAGTTTGTGATGAGAGCCAACACTGGTACTTTTTTCACAAAAAAAGAAAAAAAAAAAGTCGAGGCGGCCATCCACAGGACAAACTGAGCTAGTTGATCAGTCTCCCATTCCAGTTAATGAAAAATTATATGCTCTTTCCAAAAGTTATGTCTAAAATGAACAGCAAAAAGGCTCCTGAGCGTCTCTGTAGGTACACAGAAAAAAACAAAAATAAAAGTAAGACGTATTGATCTTGCTTTAACACCTCCCTTTACCAACCACCAGTGAAGCAAGCAAGCGCTCCAGTTCAGACCCCACCCCTCCTGCAGTTCAGTTTCCCTGTAGAGACGGGTCCGGAGACGCGCCCTCTGCTTTTTGCATCTCAAATCACTAAAGCGCAGAGAGAAGGCAGGCGACTAGGATATCCGCTGGATCAGTTTCTCATCTGATAGGCAGTAGAGTGTGTTGACCGACAGCTCAGAGATGAAGGCCTCGCAGGCCTTTCTGGAGACTCCTTTGCAGCCTCGCAGGTCGAGCAGAGAGATGCACGACAGGCGGCGCAGATATTTCAAACACGCGTCAGTCAGTTTGCTGCAGCCTGAAGAGAAACGAAGGCAAAGGTTAAACACGAGGAAATGCAAACCGAGATGTCCGTCCCGCTCTCGGCATCGCTCACCTCCTAGGTTGAGCTCGGTCAGCGTGTTCCGGGTGGACGAGCCGACCGCGGTCAGCAGGTTGATGGAGTGGTCGGTGAGGCTGTTGCAGTGGGACAGATCCAGTTTAGTTAAATGGGGCATGTGGCGGATCACCAGCCGCAGAGTGGGGTCGCTGATGTCCAGACCTGCAAGCCGCAAGCACTGCATGCTCCTCAGCTGGCTGCGGTTGTCACAGCCTGGTGGAAGCAAGTGGAGAAAAAAAGTTGGAGAAGTTATGGTGTTGTGGCCTAAAATCAATACTCTCCTGGACCAAGTATTTTTACTGCCACTTTATTGGGGTTTGGAAAAAAAAAACAATCTGCAAATAAATGAAGTAAACGTGCACTTAAAAGTTATAGAACAAATAAGCAGAAATGAACAAATTTAGAAGTATTTAGTAACGTTCTAATGTCCTCGCAGAACCCAAAATGTTCAAAATGTTGACGCTTTTAAGGGGTAATGAGCTGCTTCTCGACCAGCTCTGAAATGTTCATTTTCTTAACCTCCCCATCTACTTTACTTCTTGTTGCAGTCTGTATGGGGTGGAGTCTAAAGACGACAGGCTGTACACAGAGCAGCGTCTTAAAGGGACATGAGCATAGCCTTCCAATACAGACCCAAAGAAAGACAACTTTTCTTTTCATTTTTTTAAATACTGACATGGGTAAAATCATCAACATCGTCAAATTTTGGTGTCTGTTAAAATTTGTTCCGTCGCCCAGGTCTACATCAACTTTATATTAATATTTTGTCAGGCAGGTCTTGTGATGTACACCTGCAGTCTGAGGCGGCTCTTCTGCTTACCTGGAGGTATGACCAATTCCCTGATCTGTGCGTCTTTGACGCCGTACGCGTTTCGCAGGTCCAGAGAGCGAAGGAGAGGACAGCCGGTGGAGCAGAGAGCTGAAATCGACGACCAGGAACAACCGGACAGCATCAAGTCCTTTAGTCCTGCAAAATGGATAACGGGTCGCATTTGTTTTCATACTGTGGCACTACTAAATAGGACACAATCAAAACGAGGAGTCGAACAAGAGGCTTGTGCTTGAGTCGTACCAGGCAGGCGGCCAATCAGCCAGTTGAGCTGTTTTTTGGAGATGTTCGTCCAGGAGAGGTCGAGTGTGACGGGTTGTCTCTTTATGATGCCTGTGAGGGCCTGAGGGGTCACAGTGCGCTTGATGCTCAGGTCAATTCGGGCCCAGAGCCTTTTATCTAAACACCTACAGACAAAAATAACTCAATAAAACATTTCTGTCAGGCGGCTTATTTCAGCGGCTAAACCCACAGTCCTTCCAAGAGGGGAAATGTCCCACGACTAAATTCATAAAATCAGGCAAAGATGAAATTTAAGAGCATATTTGCCTTAAATTTCAAGTTTGTTTGTAAAACAGAATCAGAGATTAACTATGACTGAAAGGCAGATTGCAAAATGTATACTTTCAGTTTTTACAGATAAGTCTCTTGGATTTTAACTGTTTAAATCCCAGCCACCATTTATAGCTTTTGTCCACAGAGGTGAAGTAAAATCTGTGAAAACAAGTGGCAGAACTTTTTTTCCTCAACTATATCATCCTTACACATTGGAGGCAAGTTAAGTGAAATGTTCTTAGGTACTGCTTTTGTCACCTCACTACTCCTATAAATATCAAACAGCTGAAAGTTGCTCAATGTAATTTGATCAGAGGTCATAATCTGTCAGATTTCCTAAATGTAAACTAGATTACACAGGAAAAAGAAATAGTTTTCTGAAAATACTAATTTACCTATGAATATGAAACAAAGTACTTTTATGGTTATCTCTATAAATAAAGGCAATATTTCACTGCCAAGAAAAATGTACTAATTTTCATTGGTTCAAGCCTAAAATTATGTTTCAAAAAAACAAATCATGGGGGAGCAATAAGAGTACAAAGGGGTGTAAGAGAGAAATTACTTACAGCCTTTGTTTTGACACCCAAACTGCATTTTGTTGCCCGTTAATTATCAAACTCAGAAAAGATTTTAATAAACGTTAGCATGTGAAATATTGACCAGATGAGTAAGAATCTGGGATAAATGTGAAACGGAGAATCTGAAGTTCACACTTTAGGGTGAAACCTTCTGTAGCTTATTGTTAAAACTCCTCATAAGTAGAAGTCGACTTGACTTCTCACTGATGAATGAAACCAAATTGTGAGCGACTCATCGTTCTGTAGCTCGTGTCTGCAAATTTAAATTAGACCAGAATAGACTCTGGTATTTACATGACAAGTTGGCCAGAAAAGCAAAAAACGAGTTTAAGTGAGAGAAAATGAAAGGAGGTGAAACTAGTCAAACTGTTAATCGGATCTACAATAACTGTGTGAACAGGTCTTACCATTTGTACCAGTTCTTGCAGACCGCCATGCAGACACACAGATCCGTTCGGTTCAAGTAGCGAAAGACGGAGACCCAGACCTCCCTCTCACAGGTCGGCCCGCCCCCGCAGCTCTCCCTGTCCGCGTCCCCCCCTCCTTCCTGCAGGGCGGAGAGGGGGACTCTGAGATGATGAAGCTCAGTCGATGAAGAGGAGGAAGCGCCGTTGCTAAGTTTAGCTGGTCTGGTCGATCTCGTTTGTTTTGATGCTTCCAGCCTGTCCGGGTTGGAAGAATGAGAGTCTGTGTGTCTGCTCCGAGTGCGCGGCGGCGTCACCCGGTTTGTGTTTCGGTCCGGACAAGGCCCTCGATTTCTGATGGGGGGTCTGTGGAGGGCTTTGCTCTGGTTGGCTGCTGCAGAAGCTGCAGTTTGAGGGGCGATGGCCTCTAATTTCGGGACGATCGCTGAGGAGTCCTGTTTTGCTCTGGGCGGCTTTTGAAGCGTCACTTTAATGAACGAGCCGTCTTTGTCCCCTTTTGGAATGTCGTACTCCGTTTCCTCCTCTTCGTCATCCTTTTCTCCTCCGTTTTGGTTGCCCAGTCCACTTCCACACTCGTCCTGTTCTGTGGCGGGCTGCCCTCGCCTCGACTGCGGCCGGTTCTCTTTATCCCCCACCCTCCCGTTGTTCAGCCCGATCTCCTCTTCCTCCATCTCCTCCTCCTCCTCCTCGTCGTCTTCCTCGCTGCTGCTGCTGTTGGTGCTGCTGCTGCTGCTGTCCTCGCTGTCCTCCTCCGGCTTGTGGTGTCTCCCTCCACCTCTGATGCCGCGTCCCGCTCCTCCTCCTCGCAGCCTCACACCTCTTCCGTGCCCCCTGCGGGGCTCTCCTTTGGGATGAAGCACCAGGCCGTGGGAGGACTTCTGCTGCCCAAACGATCCATTACCTCCCAGAATGCTGCTGTGAGACGAACCAGTTGCCCAACCAGAGCCCCGGATTTGGCCCTGAGACAGTCTGTTGACTGGAGAGTGCAAGCGAGAAATCATCCTGGAGCTCAGGAACCGGGGAGAGCGATCTAAACACGCCTGTTTCTTTGGGGGAAAAAAGATAAACAAGGATAAGACATTTTTTAAACACTAATTTCAATCAGTCAAATCTGAATGCAAAACAAAAGCATGGAATGATTAGAGTCAGGGGTGTCCAGAGTTTTTGTCACAAAATCAGCAAATTAAAAGGATCTGAGGGCCAAAGAAGTTTATTTTACCTCATCAACAAAAAGCTAAGAATGCAATAGTTTAAAAAAATAAA